GGCGGCCCCCCCCCCCCCCCCGCCACAACTCCTGGCTCTCACTGGGGAGCCACATTTTATTTTTCAGAAAGTTTTTATTTTTTCCCCTGGTGATTCAAATGATTCTCTGTAAAAATGCAAATTCTGCATTTTTCCACGGCCAAGGGATTTCTAGGATCCCTGGTGATGACCACTGGCCAGGAGCAGGAAGAAACTTCTCCCATAATACTGCAGCTAGGTGAATAGGGGGACTTTTATGTCTCTGTAGACATGGGGCACTCGTGCCGCAGAACTAACGCAATGTTTCAGTATAGAGATTGCTATTTTTCTATTGTTCCTTCTGTTCTTTACAGATGTGTTCGGTACGGTAAGTAGTTCAGAAACCTTGCGTGACCAAAGCATCAATGTTTAGGAAAGGGTTTTGACACGTGCTTTTCCATTTGAAGCCACCTATCAAAAGCCATTCCAGTGAAGCCTTCAAAAACAACATTTCCAATAATAACTCCCAGGCTTGGATGCTACATGCTGGCGCATCTGCTCTGAAATGCTCACTCGGAGGATATTATGATTAAAACATGCCTGCACCGCGCAGTGAAAAAACGTCTGTGGCTTGTTACAGCTCTCTCATTCTGAATGGCTTTCATGAGCTGAATGATCACCACTCGATTCAGAAAGGTCAGCAGAGAAAAACATATGCCAGAAATCAATCACAGTCGACAGATCATCTGAACTGGAAAGACATGTGTTGACTCTTATAATGTCGAAGTACAGTGTAAAATGAAGAAGCCACACTGTTTTAGTGTGGCAGAGTTGATTTACACAAGGCAGAAGGAGATGCTTAACATATCAAAAGGACAATATTGTAACAGCACACAGTAGGGAAGGGAGCTGGAAAAGTGGGTTTGTCTCATTTGATCACGATCCACCATGCAGTGATAGAAACCCTCCTGCTTCAGGGCATATAAGCCAACCTCTATTTCTGGAGGACTAGGAGGAGCTTCCTTTGTGGACAAGGCACCCCAGAATTACCAACTACAGGATTTTTTGTACTTTCCTCTGGTGTCAACCATTGCTTCAAGACAGGCTACATATGCTGTGCAACGCATATGTTCCTGCATATTCCTATTGGTGCCTCAACCAATGTACCTTTGAATATCTCCTGTCATGGGCAAGTCAGGTCCCATACCCCTATGGACATTATGTTGCTTCCAGTTGCTATTAGTATTATGAAGTGCACGTTACCTGTTATCTAGCCTCAATCTTCCTCCCCTAAATTCAAGTAATTTCTGCCTAACATCTGCTGCAAATGATAATAACTCCATTCTTTTATTTTGCAAGCACTGCTTTGCAGATTTACCCCCTTGCTGATGGGCTTTAGGCCAAGGGCTCAGAATGTCATGATCTACCATCCGAGGTTCTTACACTTTTCCTTAATATAAATTTTGTCCCCTGTCCTTCAATAAGCATATGCTTTGAAGAGCTATCTGTAATATACAGCACGGGTAATATTAGTTTCCTAAAACACCAGCTCGGAATTAGTCTCTTTTGCTAAGTAGGTCCTAGTCAAGCACTATAGCAGCATGCAGTGTTACTAAATCATAGCATATGAATGATTGCAGAGGCTTCTGAGATGGATCCAGCCTTTCCAGGCCTACCTGAAGGGACTAGTAATGGGGCACATGCCCCACAGCTGATAGCTAATTTGAACTGGAAAGACGTGTTGATTCTTATAGTGTCAAATGACGGTGTGAATGGAGAAGCCAAACTGTTTAATGTAGCAGAATTGACTTGGACAAGACAGGAAGAGATGCTTTATCAAAACAGCAATATCACAACATTTCACATTCTCCTAGATCAGGGGATGTCAGCTAGGGGTACCCCAGGGGTACTTGAAAAGACGATAGGGGGTATGTATGGACAGGAGGGGCCAGAGCAAGGCAGGAGGGGCGAGGGCAGCGGTGCCCCTCTGTGGACAGACATGGGGTGGGGAGGCTCACACATGGTGGCCGCCACTGCGACCCACCACCCTGCGTTGCCACTTCCCAGGAACAGGGCTGGGGCAGAGGCAAGGGCAGCGGTGCCCCTCTGTGGGCCACACAGGTACCATCCGGCTGGTGCGTGAGTGGCTAGGTATGAGGCCCGTCACCAGCCTGCGGAGCTGCACGTGCAACTGGCTGCAGGAGAGCGGGTGCAGCAGTGGTAGTGCGGGGTGATGGGTGGCAGTGGAGGCAGGGTGGTGTGCAAGCCCCCCTCCCCCCGACGTGCAAAAGCCCCTCCCTCCGCCACATCTGGCCACTGCCACTAAAAGAGGTACACTTGGTAAAAAAGGTTGAAGACCCCTGTTCTAGATTTTACCTCCACCATTTTCTTTGCCTGCCCTGGTGCTTGAAAGGCTAGCCCTTAAAGTAGAAAAACTTTGAGAAGGTACTCTCCATGCTATTTTTATGGTTTAAGATGAAATATGCCCAATGAAGGATAGAACACAAAGTTTGTGAACTACCATACTTAAATACAAGATGAGGATTATTTCCACAATCAGCGTGGGAGAAAAAGACCCTTGTCTTATATTTGCATACAAGGAAACCTCATTAAATACAGTGCTGTTAAAAGTAGAACACGCTCAGTAATGGAAGCCAACAATGAAGCTGAATAAATGCAGATGCACATGACTACAGAACACATGGTCTATATTGGGCAAACATACTAACAGTAACCTCAACTCCTCTGAGTAAGACGTATGGTATCACCCACTGTACTCAGTTCCCGACAATGCCAACTGTTTTGCATGCAAGTCATGGTGAGCCACTACATTGAATATATTTCAACTTCCTCTTCACTCCCACGGCTGAACTATGCCTTTCTTCCCCATTTCCAATGATTCTTGTTCCTTCACCAGCCTTACATGTCTGGCAAACACCACTGAACAGGGCCCCAAACAATTCACCCAGAATCCCTCTGCTGCCCCTAGTCTCAGCCTATTTTATATAAATACTGTGGCCTTGTCCTCTGTGAGGTGGAGCCAGACTAGATTGCTGTGTGCCTCATCTGCATTTGGAGGATCCCAATATTTGTGACAAGAACATGGAGTCATGAGTAGGGGGCTAATTAGCATGTGGATCCTTTATGGGGGGTATCTGGAGTATATACACATACTGAGCAGTGCTGGGCTGTGGGGTCACAGCGGCTTGAAATGCTGTTGCCTCTGCTGGAGCCCAGCCCAAAGAACTATCTCGTAAATAATTAGCCTCTTGAATCTGGACTAATATCATGCATAGTTTGTACTATATGTAAAAGGTACAAAAGTGCTGCTTAAAAGTGTGTTTATGGAGAACCTGTGCTGAAACTTGCAGCAGTTTTGAAAAAGGTAAAATGTATCAGTCCTGGGTAAACTAAGTCTATGGGTATGCAAATTATTACAGGTATTTTTAAGTGTTTTCAAATTTACCCCTCACTTCCACGTACTCAGGGGAAACAGGGTCTGACAGTAAAGAGTGAGGAGTGGGGCTGCAGGGAGAAGAAGTTGGTGGGGAGGGACAGAGGACAAGGGGGGCTACCTGACCCTCCAGATTTATTTTCCCTGCTACAGCAGTGGGAGGGGGATACATTCAAGGCAACTGTCCAATAATTAGATTCTATACCTGGAAAATTATAACAAAAATAACAATTATAACAAAAAATTTCCATATACAGAATCTAATTATTGGGAGGGGTCATTTATATTCACGGTCATCTTATATTTAAGTAAATATGGTCATTAACTTCCATCTGAGCTTTGATTTCAAGGCTTGAATGGTGGATATGCCTTGTGCTGTCCTTTTTCACAGGGCTAAAAATCAACCTATTACATACGGAGCTTGACTTCATCCTGTAGGAGCATCTATGTCCAACATGTCCCAACTCTAATGTTGGGAGCAAAAAACATGAATGTAGTGTCTGTGCAACCCTCCAGGGCAGCACAGGGGAGACCTAAGTATTGGTGGCTCTAAGTGGCCATGCTTAATTGAAGGAAGACAAAAGCCCAGGTGTGTTCCCTAGACAGGCTCAGTAGGCGATGTATTCCACCCTCCCCATACTCACTGAATGAAGACCAGGGAGGCAGCTGAAGTTTGAGAAACATAAAGACTGAAGATTTCTTCCCCTAGCTCTATTTTGCTTTCTGAGAACTGAACTCAGAATAAACCATCTGAGACCCTTGCCGGACGAAACAATGAAAGCGAGACCTGTTCGGCGAGGACACTGGGCTCATGGCTTACCTTGGTTTGGAATGTACAAAACACGTGGGTTAGGAACGGGTGGTCCCAAGCTAAGGAGAGGACTCTCTTTTCCACCATGGTGCACTCCACATCATCGTCCATCAAGACCACGTCCTTTTTCAGAGCTTTCACGGCAAAAAACTGATCAGTGTTCTTTAACTCGGCAAGGAAGACCTGGAATGGAAAGGGGACCTTGTCAAAAGATGAGCGTCTTCTCAAACCATCTTCAGAACCACTTTAAGGTGCAAGTTGAAAATACCCGGCTCAACTCCAAAGCTGACCAGAAAACTGAGCGAGGAAAGCTAGCCCAGAGATTCATTTACCAAAAGAGGATCCAGGCCTGATTCTACCTTGAGCCTGTCTGGCCATGGGAGAGTCACTTGCTCTCCCATGTGTTTCAATTTCCCATTTGTAAAATGGGAACTATGCTTCCAAACTTGGAAGGATGTGGTGAGCTTCAAAGCTGATGGATGCTCAGCAATGATGCCAATAGGAGCCAGAATTGAAGAGACAACGTTTTGGAAAGCTGAAATTTTTGGCAATAGAAACCACTTTTATGCTATTTGTTTTCCTGGGCAAGATGTAAAGGTGACAGCTTGGGGTCAGATCCTCAGCTGAGATGAATTCTTGCAGCTCTGTTAACATCAGTGGAGCTAGGCTGGTTCATACTGGCTGAGCCTCTGGCTCTCTATGCAATCTTATAATGTAGCATGAATAGATGGGATGGCTGCACTGCGCTTCTACAGCCTCTTTTATCTGAGAGTATCAAAGCACACGAGAAATGCTAACAAACAAGAGTCCCAAAGCCTGATTGTACCTATTTATACAGGCAGAGAAACTATAGCATTGAGAAGCACTTAGAGGCCACATGGTGAGTCAGTACCAGTGTTGGCTGCAGACCGACTCCAAGGCCCATGCTCAAATTACTGGACGACGTGCTTTCCCTTAGGGTAGCTGGATGGCAGAGACTGAGCTAAGAGTCCTCTAGATACTCTTAACAGGACAGCAGTTTTAAACAAGGCCAAGGGATTTGCAACTCCACTGCGAGTTTTATGTTCCCCTTTGGCTATTTATACATTTAGGTTCATATCGATGGATTGTGCCTTGTCCTCTCCCAGGCCCCACAGCTAAGTTAATACAGGCTGAAGTTTTAATAACCTTTTCACTGCCTCCGTGTCTACGTGCTGTTCAATACCCGCTAAGAAAGGGGATAGGAGACAGTGCACCAGCAGAACTGTCCTGCTCCGGGGGGTTGCAACTGGGTTGGGGTATAATTGGTGGAGAGACACAAGTGTCCCAGTGCCATTGATACCCATGCAGTGCTTGGGAGATCCAGCGAGTTCCCTGTGTCCATGGGGAGTCAAAGCCCATTCAACCAATGGGCAAATTGGAAAAGGACTCTCCAGAGGAAGCCTGCAAGCAAGATTTTCTGCAGAAAGGCATGACTTATCCCATCTTTACTATGGAAAGCACAGTAAAAAAAGTAAATGTTTCATTAACAGCTTAGAAGCTGGCTACAGCAATTGCTTTGGTCCATCAAGCATATCAGAATAAGCCATAAACTGGGGGGAGGGCAGTTTCCATCCTGGATGCATTTGGGAAGTGGGCACAGTATTACATACTGAGCTCATGCTTGTTAATTGGTGCTGAATCACAATGAAGAGTTTGTTTCAGGACTGCCTCTCCTGGTTGCATTAGCTCCAAATGAGTTCATCAAGGTGAATATCATTACAGGGCGTGCCTGAAAGGATGAATAACGATCAGTCACTGGTTGTAACGTGCGACTGCTGCTCCACAGTAGCTGTGAAGCGGGGGCTAGTGAATGCACTGAAGGTAGAATACACCCAGGGCCCTGATCCCCAGCTGGTGCAAATTAGGGCAACTTTCACTGATTTCCGAGTGGTTGGTTTGATTTAAACATCCGTCGAAGATCTGGCTCCAAAGAGCTCAGGGTTGGACTGGAGCGTTACACCAGGAACAAGGGGAAGTGCTGAGCTCCCCTGGCCCAAGAGCAGGGAGACAACTCAGAGCCAGAGTCTCCGGGTCTTCTCTGCCCTAGATGTAGGAGGGAGTCATCAGCATCAGTCTCTGTTGCTGGGGCAGGGCACTTCCTCCTGTGAGCTAGCTTAGCTGTGATGGCTGGACGGTCAGGAGGATGGCCAGATGCAACACTCTGCCCAGGTCTTTCCTCTTTCTGTTTGCATGCCACCCACCTGCCCAGAAGGGGAAGTGGTAGGTTAGCAGCTGCTTCCCTCCCTTGCAGGAGCAGATGCAGGGGTGTAAAAGGACTCCTTGCAACCTAGCACTCTCCAAGGCAGACATGGGCCCAGTTTCTGACCAAGCCCTCTGAGAATTGGGTTTATCTGAGATGTCACAGGTGGCTGTCTTCAGTGAAGCTGAAAATGTGTTTACTAGTAAGTATTTTTTTTCTCCGGTCAGAGCTTCTGCTTCAGTTTGAAAATGCGGAGTAAGGTGTTTTGAAGCTGGCAGTGAAATTTTGACAAGCAAGTTCACAGTCTCAGGCTTCAAAATGCAGAGATCTGTGTCTAGCCTCGTTGAGCCCCCCTATTGCTCACCTTGCCGAAGCTGCCCTTCCCCAGCATTTTGTGCAAGACAAAATCATCGATCGTTAGCTTCAGATGCACACACGGCTGCTCTTTCTCAGGTTCTGACTCTATGAGAGACCGGGGTCTGGTCGTTTCCTCCACAGGCGATTCCCAGGAGATCCCTTGTGGCTCTGAAACACATGTTAAACCACTAACATAGACCTCTGACCCAAGGAGAAACATCCCCATCCTAAGCATCCATTCTCACTGAGATTTTGGAAGTCACCCAATTCCCATGATTGTGAATGGAAATGGTGTCCACATCCACTAGGGAAATCAATATTCTCAGGCTCTGGACCTTAATTGCTTTCTACTTCCAGTAGTTTTCTGCTGGTGTAACCTCACAGGCTTCAGTGGAATTACTCCCAATTTACACAGATACAAATCCTGTTATTTCAAGGCAGAAGAGTGTGGCCTTGCCCTCAGACTCGGCACAGTTTCTGCTCCCCATTCCTCATTGCAAGCTGTCCTACCATGCTGTGACATGTTACGCTTGAGCCTGCTCAAATCCACAGCCGAAGCAACGGCGTGAAACAGATATGACATTGTTCCCACTTCATGCCCCGGTCCCAGCAGTTAAGATCAGGTTGGATGTCTTTGCTGTCACCTGGAGTGAAATTCTCAGGAGAGGCCTTAATATTATATTTCCTTAGGTTTATAAAAAACCTTTCTGGGAATCCAGCCCTTACTGAGCCTATCCCACAAACTCAGATACACAATTCAACATAGTGGACTGATCAGGCATGTTTGATGGATGAAATAAGTGACCACTAGGGGACAAGATGGTACCTCAGATCACCAGGCCCCAAATCATCTAAGGCTTTATAGATTAGCATCCACCTTTTGAATTTCACTCATTAGAAACCAGGACCGCTGTAATCTACTTGTCAGGGTCTGTTAAGCATCCCCTCCGCACCCAATTCACAAAGACTGCTTGCCTGCCTGGTTCCTAACTCAAGCTAGGAAACCCTGGTGCTGACCAGGATGGGATTCATTGCACAAAGTCCAAAGCATCCCTGTAATGTGCTTCGCTTGTGAAACTCAGCTTTTACAAGTGCCCTGCAGCATTTTGCACTAGTACAGGCATTGGCACAGGGCAGTGTAGCTCTGAAGTGACAAAGGCAAGGATGATTAGAGCAAAGCAAGTGTTGGGAAAGAAAAGTTGTGCTCTTCTTTTCTTGGCTTCCTGCTGGACCTGGCCCGTACTGCAGTTTGGTTCATTTTTGCTCTTGTTTCTTGATAATGCATTTTATAGCTTGCAGGTGAGGTTGGGGTTACTGGGCTGCCCACTACATTTTTACTAGCTGGAGGTCAACTGATTGGTGACCATTAACCAAGTGATACTCTCCCATGTTCGACAACCTGTCTCATCATCAGTTTGATCTATGCCAGTGGTTCTTAGTCTTTAGACTCAAGGGACCCTCCCTTCGTAGATCCCTCTGAAAATGGCAACTCTTAGTTTTGACTTGTTTCTTGAGTACCGAAAAATAATAGATCAATTCTTCTATTACAAAGAACTTAAACTGCAATAGGTCTGAATGCTCTTGACACTATGGATTCCTATCTGAAATCTCTGGGGTTATCTTGTGAACCATTAGCTTGCACACCTAACAGTGCTAATATTAAGTGGAGTTTCATGGCACCCTTGAAAGGATCTCAAGGATCCCCAGAGTGTCATGGCGCCCTGGCTGACAATCACTGATCTATGCTTTGTGTTGCAGCACTCGGAGAGGCACTGTGGGCCAGAAGTGGGATTGTCTCATGTGCCTGGGCAACTCAGGAGCACAGTCCAAATGAAAGTCAATGCAATATTTGACCCTAATTCCTGTTGTGCTCTAGACCCCTTAGGAAACAGATGTGCAAGGGTTTTTCACATAGGCGATCTGGGGAGGGGAGTCACATCCTGTCTGAAGGCCACTCAACACCTTTCAGCTTGGTCTCAGGTCTGCTGGTCCCTTCTCCTTCCTATTGCCTCACCCTCCTGCTGCTGCCTTTTGAAACATAAGCTGCTTATACATGAGCTCAGGAGTTGGTGGGGATACATTTTAATTAGAGTGGTTCCTAGACAGCCGCTCTAATTAAAACAGCTCACCATAACGTGTGTTAAGCCTCCAAAATGTATTAAGCCTTTCAAAATGACCATGGGACGCTTTATCTGAAGCTCATTCAACGAGGATCAAGATCATGGTCCCATTATTTTAAGCACTGTCCATACACACAATATGAGATGGTCAATACCCTGCAAGGTCCTGAAGCTAAACCAGACAATAGATGAAACACAGAAGCAACCCTGCAACCATTTTGAAACATGCGGAGGCTTAATACAAGTGACGATGAGACAACCCTGGAGCAAAGCCCCTGAAGAGAAGCTCTCTCCAGATCCAGCTCTTCAACCTCAAGGAGCACATTAATAGCCCAAAGATACACCCAAGTTAGGACTCCCTCATCATCACCCAGTTACAGTGATACTTGAATTGGGTGCTCACAGGACATATGGTACCTATGAAGCCTTTTTGCAGTAACAGTGGGGCAGGCACTGTGCTCTAGCTTCTTTATGTTAACCATAATTGAATTTTAAATCATCTTTGTTCAGGGTGAAAGTAATATGGGGTCCTGTGCTCTTAGGGAAGGCCGTTTTGAAATGAGGGAGCTGAAACTTTCCTTTTTAGTACCACACTTTGATGCTTAGATCAGCCTCTAGGCAAGTCAAGTGGAGATTTTCCATTTATTTTCTATGGAGATTAGGCACCTTATTGGCTTCTATGCTTTTGAACATCTTCTTCCCTTCCTCTCCTGCAATGGTTATTTCATGTGTATGAGTACCAATGCTGTTCTATGCAAGATTAGGACAGACTATTAAAGTGCCCACAGCAACCAAGCTCACAGTGTCAACAGTCATTACCTGCAAGGACTGTCGTAAAGCTGCATACAAATAAAATTAAAGAGAGGACAGGAAAAAAGCAAGGGTTAGCTCCTAGGGAAGCAGAAGTATTAAGCTAATTCTCCGAGCTAGTACCCAGGTGGATATCAGAGTGGAGACTGCCAGCAGTAATGTGTGTACATAGGTAAGAGAATGAAAGCACTTAAAGCCTCGTGTTGAGGGTAACCTTCTGTAATCAGCATAATCAGTTAAGGATTTAAAGACAGGCTTGTGGCTGTCATTAAAAAAAAAACACATTGTTGTAAAGCCACTAATAATGAAGACCTTGCAATTTCATTAGCTGTAAACCGCAGCATACAGAGAACAATAACATCAGGAACGGATTGATGGGAGTGGGCAGGGAGCTCAAAGTAAATGCTGGGCAGCATTTCTCCAGCCGATCACCATAAATAGGGTTGGTAAAGTGTCACTGGGGGATAGGGACATTTTTGGCAACTGGGGAAAGGTGTGTTGGGGTTCTTGCTCAATGGGAAGCTTTAGTACAGAGGATGGTTTGTGACTTATGTCACTGGTGGAAAGAACAGGAGTAATGAGAGGCCATGCCTATGAAGAGCAATGGGTTGGGCCTAAGCAGCTGGATTATCTCTGGGTGAAGTAGCTGGAAATGTCTTGGGGCATGCATATCAGACTGTATGAGAGGGACAGGTTTTGACAAAGGCATGGGACTCCGGAAATGAAAGATGCTGTCTTGTATCGATGAATGAACACATGACCTGGAGTGAGATATTTTGTGAAAACTACATAATTGGGATCATTCACTGGGATTGCTGGACACGGAGGTGCTCTCTATCCCAGTATAATAATGCCCCCTCCCCAAAATATAGGACAAAGAGTAGCTTTGCTGACATCCCTGCATTGATACCAGTGGCTTCTCACAGCAGTCCCTGATCCCAGTTGTTTTTGCCTCCCTGGCTTGCCTAGCTACATGCTGCAGATCTGGCTTAGATCTAAATGAATCATTTCCTTGCAGCTGTATCTACCAGCACACTACCATGCAAAGTGTGGAAGCAGCAACCTGCTGTGAGTAACAGTGGGAATCCATACCCTGCAACACTGTGGTTGGCTTGATCCCATTATCACCCCCTCGGGCTAAGTGTGCAACTAAACTGGCCCCATCCATGCACATCCTTGGAAAGGTACCTTTCTTCCCTGCGGAAGATGCTGGCACAGACTGAAGCGCTGTTACTTCTTTCATGGGAACTGGAAGGCCGATTTCAATAGGTCCTTCTCTCCAGATGTGTTCGGAGTCCCGCAGGCAGCGAGCCTAGGTCAAGAGCAACAGCAAGTGAAGTGTGGGATGAAAATGTCTATCAGCTCAGGTCTCAGGGGTGTACTTGGTAGACGTGTTGGTCTGAGACAAAAAGACATACAAAAAACTAGAACTTGTAGTTCCAAAATGATACCTTTTATTAGACCAACTGGAAAATGGCAAGAAAACTGTCCTTTTCTGCAAGCTTTCGGGATCAAAGTCCCTTTGTCAGGCTCTGGGAAAAGCGTAGATGGTACAAGATGGTAAAAAGTCCCCATAGGTAGGAAATAACCTGCAGTTTTCTTGCCATTTTCCAGTTGGTCTAATAAAAGGTATCATTTTGGAACCACGAAGTCTAGTTTTTTGTATATCAGCTCAGGTGCCTTCTGAGGTCTTAATCCTATAGGCATGATTGTTGAGAGAGAAAGAGGTTGATCATCACTTACGCTCAGACTGACCGAGGGATCTACACGCCATGATGAACAAGGTGGCAATGTCTCGCTAAACGTGGCTCAAGAGTTTGATCTTTCATGTAAGTGCACTATTATTTATACTGCAGTAGTACCCAAGATCAAGATCATGGTCCCATTATTTTAAGCACTGCCCATACACACAATATGAGAGGGTCCGTACCCGGCAAGATCCCCAAGCTAAACCAGACAATAGATGGAACACAGAAGTGAAGTGACCTGCCCGAGATCACACAGCACATCAGGAGCAGAGCTAAGCTCCCCTTAAGCTCCCACTGGTGGTCTACCCATAAGACCCTCTGGTTTCAGCTCTGCATGAAGCGTACCTGTTGGGTGCTCTCTATCATTGCCAGGGCTTCAGCCATTAGTTTCTGGTTAACTCCACAAAGGTTGGCCACTTTTGTCTGGCACTTGTGATGGACGTTCATGCCACATGCTGAAAAGAAGCAGTTAATAAAGGATGAGAGGAATGGCAGGGGGAACGGTGGGCTTGCATCACAAATTGCCTTTGTCTGACATGAGGCAGGGCAGTGACGTGCACTTCTACTGGCACGACTGACTGTCCTGTTTGCCCCTACCCAACCCTAAACAGCTCAAGGCCTGTCGGCCCTGCTTGGCGCAGTTGTTGATGGCATAGCTTGGATTAGCAACAAACACCAAAGTCTTCCGATGCCCACGTATAAGCAGAGTCTCATTTAGCAGCCATCAGTTTTCAGAGAACTGACATAGTTATGTAGCTAAAAAATTGCTTCCTACTCATGGGGAGCGACCCCCTTGGTTGTGACAGCATAAAGGCAAAATTGTGCCCTGGGTCTGTGCATAATCAACAAAGGCTGCAAAGGAGGAATTCAGCAATGACCCTGGGATCTGGGGAGATGCATCAGGGGAAAAGGTGCAGCCTTGTCACACCTGTGGATCAACTCCATGGGCTATGCATCCTTGTGTGACCCCAAACTTCTCCTGCAGTAGGAGGGGGGTATTCTCCAGTTCTGCCTTTAGAGTGACCCCCATCACCGAACTCCCCTGTAGTCGGCATCTAGACTGCAGCTCTTCAGGAGTGGCCCTGCAAAGACCCGATGCACCTACACTCGGTGCTCTCTAAATATTCATCAGTAACGGGACTCACCGTCACACTTCAAGCCCTGTCGTGCCAGGCCCCAGAGCAGCGTGCCACAGTGCTCGCAAAACGTTGGGCTCTTGTAGTTGTAGACTTTAAACCGGTGAGGCATATCTATCTTGAATCGCTCCTTGTGGAACTGCAAGAGAGAGACTGCTCTGAAAATCCCTTCCCCGCTGTGCCAGGGCTGCATTAAAACCTACTGCTCATTGTTCATGTTATCCTCTTTGTTTTAGGATTGATGCTGCTACCCGTGGGTGTAGCCTTTGTGTGCACGGTGATCATTTTTTGATAGCTTTCTTATCGTGACTGGGAAAACAATCCTTAGCAATGAAGAATAGGTTGCACACGGAAACCAGGGTAGGAAAGAAAGTGGCACCAGTGCTATCACTGCAACTTTGTTCTTGAGGCTGACAAACAGGAGGACATTCTCTGTAAAGTTAAAGTTTGCAAAGGCAACTGGGGGATTTCAGCTTTGTTTGCTGGATCAAGTCCTGCTGGCATCGCTGTGTCAGCCAGAGGTGTGTAGCCAGTGCAGGTAAAACCCCTGATGTGGACACAGCTGTGCAAGCAGAAGGCTTCTGTCAGCAGAGTTTCTGCTGCTTGGAGGACCTAGTGTAATACTGATGACAGAAGATCTCCTTCTGCACCACGGGGTCCAGACAACACAGTGCTGCCATGGAGTTACAGGAGCGCAAAATCAATAGGAAATAAACAGGGACTTGTCAAAATATAGATCTCCTCCAGCACTGCAAATCTGGGACAAGATATGCACTCTTGCAATGGCAAATCAACAGACAGTAAAACCAAGCGGGGCCATTAAAAAGAAATCTAATCTGACTTCACAGGCCAGAGAGCCTTGCCCAACAATTGCTGCAGCAGGGCTTATCTCCATGGGGAAGTTGGCATGTTGCAAAGCAACGGGTGAATTTCCAGATCACGGGCTACTCCACAATAAATCTCGGTGTGTACACTCTCTGGGTTTGTTGAGGCACCAACAGGAAAGCTAATCTGAATTAAGTAAAGGTAGCAATCTCAAACAGGAGGCAGTTAGATTGCATTGAACCCCTGTGTGGACACGCTCTTTCAGCCTTACATCTATTTCACTTCACTTCCAAACACGGTGTGTATCCATGTGGGGGTTTAATGCAGTTTAACTGCCCCATATTAAAAGTCAATTCATATTAAGTTTCCCTGCAGACAATGCACAGTGCATAAAAGGATTGTTCTGAGAGAGAATTATGGTGGGAGAGACAATGCACAGCGGTTTCCTGAGCACCTACTCCCTTGTACAAGCCAGCTCTATTTGAGCTCGAGCACACATATTAAAAAGAGATTTAATCTTGGCATAAAGACTGCAGATTGAGCTATCAAATTAGAGCACATGGCAAATAGGAGCCTGTGATTGATTAGGAATGTGAGAGCAGGGACACAAATCTGACCTTGCTAGCATGCATTTGACATCAGTGATGCTAGTGGCTTTTGTGGAGCTACTTCTGATTTACACCCATATCGCAGGGATCAGAAAGAGGCCCCCATTCTTTTGAAAAAGTGCTACGTACCATCGTTTCTCTGCTATTGATTGCTGACCCTGTGCACTTTGCTATGACTTTATCAATGCACTTCTTATGGATGGCAGCGTTGCACTCTGAAAGAACAAACAAGTCATCGTCTCAGTAAAAACACCATTTAAAAACCTGGCTGAATGAATAATAATGCTAGTAAGATAATAAAGCTGCTTACGCCTGCATTGATAGCCTTGCTTGTTAAGACCCCTGAAAGAGAAACAAAGTGAGTGAGTTTTGAATTTTCAGAGCCTGCCTACACAGCTGAGGTCAGCAGCACTTATGAACTGAAAATGGGGTGAAACAACTTGGATCTTCATTAACTCTGGGAAGGTGTAGCTAAGTTGTTCTAATTTAATTTACCTAGTAGCTAACTACTGTGTGTAGCCCTTACAGCCTGTCCAGCACTTCCAACACCTTTTAATTTTGCAGCAATTAATAGGTTTATTAGAAATGCATGTGTATTGAGTCACCAATGAATAAGTAAAAAATAAGTGCATTTCTGTGCAAATGCAGTTAGAAGCACAACTGTGTGTCGTCGTTTCCCCAACAATGAAACAGCAACTCCTACATGTAACAAATAATTGGGTTGTTCCTGCAACCTTGTGCTCACACAGCAGTGTAGCTAAAGAGAGTGAAAAATAGCAAGGCACCGTCACCGCTCAAGGTGCAAACTGCCCCCTTACACCTCTGCACACACGTCTTTACTCCAGTGGTCCCTAACCTTTTGTTAGATTCAAGGCATCCCCCAAAGTTTTGTGAATTTACTGGCACATTAAAGAAAATGTATTTCTTTATTATAGTGCTTGCCTCCTTGCAGAGGGTCCAGGCAGTGGGAGTGAGGAAGCAGCCCAGCAAGGAGCAACTTGAGCCTGTACTTATTGCCTCACATCTGCTTATCTCCTCACACCTCGTGGCACCCTTGAAAGGATCTGGTGGCATCCCACAGTGTTAAGGCACCATCGTTAAGGATCACTGCCTTACTCATTCAAATAGCCCCAGCGGTCCATGCCCTATGGGTCTTTTTTTTCCATGTCCAGTCCCATGACGCTCATCGGATCCCAACTCAAACCAATGGAAAGACTGCGATTGGCTTACACTGGCCTGTTTGCATGCCTGATTAGGCAAACTCTCATTGAAAGGTCCCACTGGATCAAATATACAGGGCCAGGCTTTTTAATTGTGAACAAGCTCAGAACCACAATAATGTTTCTGTATTGATTCTGGCAGTGCAATGAGTATTATTATTGGCAGAAGCGGATCTCAGTGGAGGCACCAGCTTCTGTCTAACAGAAGTGCTTGGGCAAATTTGCTTGCACACAGACATCCAGATTTGCACTGAGGTCTGACTGGCAAATACTTTCCTTGAACCCACTCTCACGTATTAGCAACAACCGAGTGCTTTGTACACCGGAGGGCA